TCCAGCCTGTACAGATATGCGGTCTATAATAAGGCCTCTGGCAGCCATATCCCTCACTGTTATAATTGACGGCGCTCAGAGACATCGGCGTGTAATAACTGTAAATAACGCGCTCATAGTTTGGACAAATACTATTATAACCTGAATTTCGAGAGGAGAACAAATGAGAGATAAGCAGAAATGAGAACATGACAGACATTTGGCTCACAGACTCCCTGCGGATTACCCAAAATACGACAAACGATGACAAACGAAGGAACCTCATTTGTATCCTTGCCCTTACTGTCGCGGGTTCGAGTTCCGTCGAGACTCCCAGTTTTTCACAATAAAAACTATCAGCGGGGAGGAGTTCATTTGTAACAGCCCATGATCTGTATAACGTTGTTTGAATGAAGAGACAATGAGCAATGCCTATTCAATAGACATATTCGGCTACATAGAGACTAGGGACTTGTGGACTACTGACCACGACATTTAATGTTGGTTAAGGCGTGTGAATTACATTCATCTACTAACTGCACAATCTGGGGTTGGGTACTGATTAGCGATTCATTTCCCTTCCTGAATGTGTACAGCTGATCGACCGTAAGTATAGAGAAAATATGTTGGACGATTTAGCAGCCAGAGTAGTAAGTATAGCTAGGTTCAGCGATCTATACACCATACAATCTAAAAAGTCTTTTCAATGCGGCGGAATCCGGGTAACGTAGAAGAGCTAACCGGTCCTGAAGTTCGGTTTCTATGACCGTGGTGATATACTGCTCAAGACAAAGACGCCGACAATGTGGGTATTCTTTTAATGCGCAGAGTACAGATCCATCAGTTGAGCAAATAGCCAGATCATGGTGAAGCGGCACCGAAAACATCCTCTGCCATTCTACTGGCCACCGTTACCAAATTCCAGCCTGTACTGATATGGAGGATAGTGAGGTCTAAAAGAAGGCCTCTGGCAGACCTATGGTTGCAATGGTTGACGGCGCTCGGTGACATCGGCGTGTCATTACTGTAAATAACGTACTCATAGTTTGTACAAATACTATTCCAACCTTGATTTCGAGAGGAGCCCAAATAAGAGATAAGCAGAAATGAGATGCTGACTGATATTTGGCTCACAGTGTTCCTGCGGCTTATCCCAAGCGATGACACAAAAAACCAGAAGGCATCTCATTTTTATCCTGGCCCTCGAGTTCCGTTGAGACACCCAGTTTCTCATAATCGGAACCATCAGCGGGGAGGAGTTCATTTGTAACACGCCATGATTTGTATAGCGTTGTTTGAATTAAGAGACAGTCTTGGCGTGCGGATCAGGGATGGAGATGGCGTAACTGCGTGTCGGTGGAAACGGCCGATGCCCATCCCTCTACTATCACCGACCCCCTTACAGCAACTTTTCGTAACGCTCGTATCGTACGCTCCCTCTCTCTCTGTCAACATCGGCACCTCCCTCGACCCTTCCCTTCAGTTTTCCACAACCCTGCGTTCCTCACCGGATAATTAGCTGGCATGTCGGTGTCGCCTCACCATCCAGACAGGTTACTCTCTTGTTGTAACTTGTCCCGTTTGTACGATTGACTATTATTACATGTATTCGCGGTTTTCATCTCTTCGCATTATGCTTTTATGCCTATTTAACACTTCTTCTTGCCTTTCGTATGGATGAGTAGTTCGACATGGTAAATACTGTCTTCACATCCATCCTAGTCAGGACCTCCTCTCAGTGCTTCGCTACCTCGGTGTGTGCTATCTTTGACGTCCTCGACCGCCACACATTGCCAAGCCATGTCTATAAAGCTCCCCTCCTATCACCCTACCTGTTTCTAAGACGAGTGAGCTGCATGTTAACCCATAACCTAAGACCGAGCAATTTTACAATACCTTTTTTAAAAAGTCGGTCTTCCTTATTAACAACAGTTACTTTCTGATTTAGTGACTCAAGCTAACTCACTCCTGTATTGGATAACGTTTGTCTTCGCAGTCCAATGATGGCCACGGGCTTTGCCCTGCAACCGAGACTGACGTGTTTGCTTGGTGTCGAAAAGCTGCCTTCGCTGTGCCTTCTTACTCTTCAGACATCTTTCTACGAGCAATTTCACCATTCCCTAGTGTTCCAAATGATAGTTTTCTGATGTAAATTAACACAGGCTGCTGTTCATGAAAGTTCTGTCAGCAGTTGGAATGCAAGGCTGGTCATGCACATAGTGGCATCGACAGGGGTCTGCAGTTAAACTGCAACACAAACGCTTTTGGTGAGCGTCTGTTCGCCTTTTAATGTGTAACCTGCCAGTCTAATCTTGTCTATTATTGTAGCGCCGGGACTATTAATCGACCTGTTAGAAGCACCGACATAACAGGAAAACTCTCCACTGCTCTACGCTGTGATACCTAGGGAGAGACTCCAATCATCGGAAGTTCACATTAAACGCCCAACTTTATGATGTACCCACATTTGTGGTAGCGTTGATGTCTTTACCACGCAAAGATTATTAATTCCGCGATTGAAGCCAAGGTCTCCAGTACGTTCCTGGTCACACAGTCGTTTATTCAGGCATGGTATTCGGCCTTCTCGAAGGCGAACATGATTTGAGAAACTGTACAGTGTTTCATCACGGGTATGGTAAAGCCTCCGTCCTCTCCACTTGGTGAATTCGCAGTCATCTTCTCGGTTCATCCAGATGCTTTACAGAACACGATCTGTATCAGAACCAACTGGGAGCTACGGTGTTTCGCATCAAGACAGTGAACCGTCGGGACTCCTGACTGTCGCGCATGCGTCACCTGATCCCATTGGACAAACTCCTCTGTTTGTGTGGGATTTTGACTACTAGGTTCCGCATGACTGAGCTGAGGGTCCACGTGTTCTTATTGAAGACGGTACACAAGCCGGAATCTCGCAGATGCCAGAGCCTGAGTAATCCGACAAGTCACTTCTTCTCTCACTTAGGTTTTTCTGTATGAGCAGAAGAATGGACAGCGAATCAGCAACATTCCTGTGTACAAAGTGGTCGAACTTCAGTCCCGCGCCATTTCCCCGAGAGCATCAGACGATCCTGATTTCACAAATGGGCATCGCGAATTGCAAACTAAACTCGAAGAACATCATTTGTCATATTTTGGAGATGCGGACGAATGTAAATGATAATATGCGACCCCAAAAGTTCGGCATATGCCAGTGAACAGGAGCGGCGATATGAGGATCAGATAATAGAATAAAAAGGACATAATGGAGATGCTGCATCTCGTCTCTCCTGTTCCATGCTCCTATCGCTAGGCAAACTGCTTTTGGAGGGTCTGATGTGCGTAAGTTCGTTCGTCCTAAGCGATACGCCCGCTGTCATAGTGGTGACTTGAGCGTGTGTATGTTTGTAGTGGAGCAGACGGGCAAGGCGTCCACCCTCGCACCTGATTCTGATGGCAAGATGACTGGGGGATGGGTACGAGCCTGGTGGTTCACGGCGTCCGCCCCTAACTCCGCAATAAGCAAACTTCGAATAGTCTTTCATGTCGCATAAATACTGGACGTCATACGGGTACCCGCTATGGGGCAATAGCGTACATAGTTTGTTCGTCATCATCCAGGTTGGCAATTTTTACCAGACTGAGCTAATGATTCAATGAATATGTGGAGGCATATCTCTTCTCAGCACGGTTGTTCAGAGCTTTAACCGCGTACCATTCGATTGTCTGTGCACGTATCTGCAGCGGGAATCGCCTAGAGAAACCGAATACGGGTTCCGGGACCACCGAGATACCTCAGGCCTGATCGTCGCAACGCACAAACTGCACGAAAATTGTGCAAAAATACGGGACAGATTACGAACCACCCTTGTGGATCCGAACAGAGACATTCCACACAGCGGATCGGAATAAAGTACTGAAAGCCCTGCTGAAATTCAGATGGCAGAAGGGAGTTGAATATATGTCAGCACAGATGAGTATTAGCATGATGGCTCGTTTCAAAGACTCTGGGTCCGTGCTCGTGGCATTTGCGCTGTTGGGCCCTTACCATGAGAAGCAGAATGCATCAATATTGATTATCTACTTGGCAGAGCCCAATTAGTATGCGACCTAATCCCATTGTACACGTCGCCGCATGCACAGATGGCTGCGCGCAGAACGCCACAATGAATAACTACTAACATGTCGCACCAAACATTTTCTTACGCCAACGGGATTTTAGTCTTTTAGGTAAGGGGAAACGAACATCGCAGGTACTCCAATGCATACATGCGGGTTTCGTCGATATTCTGCCGCTGCGAGAGTTGCAAGACCTGACCTTCGGAATGACTACTAGCATGTCGCACCAAACACTTTCGTTACCCCAACGGCATTTTTTTATTTTAGGTTAGGGGAAACCATACGGCACAGGTACTAGCCAAAAGCCCATACATGCGGTTCTCGTCGATTTTCGGCTACAGCTGCGAGGGGTTTGACTCATCACGTCTGCTACCGAATTAGAAATTGCTGCTTTTTAATCCGCTCAAAAATTATTTGTGAACGGTATATAAGCTCAGACCGCGAATTTTATGGTATTATAAGCATACAAAATTTCGGAAGCAATATGGTGATGGGTTGCAAGAGCACAATTATGTTGTCTCTGCTTAATATAATGGTGTACCTACTTCTACTACTACCATTACTACTCCTGATGCTCAATAACTACGGCTTAATGACATCTGGCAGGGAATAAAAACTGATTGAGTTGCAGGTTCAGTCAGATTCAATGACCCAATACCAATCGGCTAAAGGGCTTCTTAAATAGCACGCACAACAAAGCCAACGGTATTCCCCACCGAGCATAGATCCTATAAGGCCTAAATCCATCTTGGCATCAAACACCCAAAACTCTAACACCCATCAAACACCGCAACCCTCGCGAAAAAAAGACCAGACCCGAAGAATTCAGTGCAAGAGGAAGGTACATAATATCTGTCAAAATTTATTTAAAATTCGACAACTGTTCGCAGTTCCAACCAAGGGTGGGGAAGGTGCTTCGGGGGCCTTCACCACTTGCGGCCACCGTCCTTCCAGCGGCCACCACCACCGCCGCCGCCATGCCAGCGGTCACCACCATCGCCTCCACCCCAACGATCACCACCACCGCCACCGCCCCAAGCGCCAGTCAGTGGCGTCTCCGTCTCCTTTTCAGCATGTTTCTTGTCTGCAGCGTACACCCTAGCGCCGTTCATCGACGTTCCCAAAACGATGGCCGTGAGCAGAAGGAGGTAGAGTTGCAGTTTCATCTCGAGTTGGTCAACTGTATTGGTGGGATCACACCGGCTTGAGGTTGACACCATGTATTTATACTATTTCGGGCATAGTGGGAAGTCCACTGCCTGTATCATGATTGGCTGATGTGGTCTGAGGAGCGAGCGGACTCTGGAGGTGGCCGTCAGCACGTGACCTGGCCCGCACTGCGCGGCGGTTTGCCGCGCATATTCCGATCCTATGATTGGTCGATTTGGCAGATGCCCTGTCTACCTGCGCTCACGCAACCCGAGTCCGTGCCATTTCCATAGCCGGAGCATTAAAATGGTCCGATAATTCTGTTAGATTTTACCAC